GGGAAATATGTTTAAGAGCTGCTGCACAAATAAGAATTTGGCTCAAATAGGTTTCTTTTAGTTTTGCAACTTGTTCCTATTCACGTGTTGTCCCTTCCCTATTTCTACAGGAGACCAAGTAATTATATTTAAATAATTGTTCACATTTTGCCACCACTGGAATCAATCATTCCTTTTCGAGTACCAGTATGTGGTGGCAACATTAGAAAACTTTGGATGAAAAGCTGCAAGTAGAAGGACTGAGGAGAAACAAATGATTAAGAGCCAGTGGCACCTACCGCTTTAGAGCAGACACTTTTTTGGGAGATTTCTTTTTCAGTTTAGGTAATGACCTGTCTTGTTCAAATCCTTCATTGTCCAAAAGCTGTCGCATGGCTATATTGGCAAGCTGTTCCATTAGTTTAAATGTCTCACTGATATTAAGGAATACTGAGAAGAAATGTTCACTTGACCTTGTGCTCACTTTGATCATGTCAGGGAAGAGAAGTGTAGCATTCTTCTCAAGCTGAGTGATATCGACCCAGCGGATCACTAACTTTGCTGAACAGAAGCAAACAACAGAAAAGATTCAGTACAAAAAAATATCATTTTACAGCATTTATCTTCCTGTTCCTACAAAATGTATTCAGCTGAAATTTTCTTGCGTCTTGAAAAGGTGGGAGGACAGCACAAATAGACCCAGCTTGTAAATACAAACTATGATCACCTAAGAAATAGCAGATAAAAGAGTTTAAATATCATTTACTTCTGCACAGAACACCATGCAGAAGCATTACAAAGCTAGGTGGGCTAACATAATTTCTCACTGTCACAACACTTGCCCAGACCCTGAAGCCCTCTTCTCTTACAGAAGCAAAGAAACATAAAGGCATCAGAAAGGCTCGTGTTATTTTTACACATTAAAAAGTTTCAAATATTACAGTAATGAGAGATCCTTGGCTTTTCTTCCAACACCACTAGAGGTTAGGATAATGTCTTTTAAACAGGGACTAAATCAACATCTATTTTTGTCAAAAAAACCCCAAACCAAACCAGTCATTCATGAGGGTTTGTTTACACAGCTAAATAGAAAGGCCTGGGACTGATCCACTGCCCATAACCAAGCACTGCACACCTGCTCATCTCCACACTGCTTAGAATTAACTCCCTCTAGAGCAGACTGGATGCACTCACACTATGTAGTTCTTCATCCTGGGTCTCCTCTTAGCTCTCTGTGATGCTCTGGTTTGTACAAAAGCAAGTGTGGCATTTGGGGTTCCAAAGTCTGCCAGAGTAGGATTGAGGGATTGTATAAGAGCAAAGGAGCCAAAACTGGCGTGTGATCTCATCCCTATTCCCTTGTGGGCACAGTACCTGAAGTGAGCCATGCCTCTAAATAATGCCTAGCTATCATTTTATGGGGAACTACTTTAATAAATCTAAACCAAACAATGGAGCAAACACACAGTTAAGCAGTGTGACAATCAGGGAATTGGTCCCTGCTCCTCAGCAGTGTCTTCACACACGCTGAGGTGCAGCAGGTGAACAGCAACAAACTACAGAAGATTTCCCAACAATTCTTCAACCTCCAGACCACGACTCCACTGTAAAACATACCTTCCCTGCCCATGAGGAAAGAATAAAAGCAAAGGTGATTAATGCTGAGATACACCCAGCCCTGACGGGGAACCTTCCCCTTCCAGTAACTGCAGGAGTAGTAGTTCACTAATTTCTCTTCTTCTGGCATCCCAAACAGCTTGTGAAATTTCACTATGGCTTCCTTAAACTTTTCTGTATCATCATCCTCCTTGATGCCATTGATCTTGTTGTACTCGGCGATGATGCCCTGGTGGGGAGTGAGAGAAGCACAGAGCAGGTCAGCTGCCATGGGGGTCAGGTATCCTCATCACCACTGCTCTCTGGGCCTCAGGCCACAACACTTGTTGCAACCTCAGGCAACTCTTTTCCTTAGCTCTTATTCTTCTGTTCATTCTTTTGCTTATATATTTAGTTTATTTAAGGCTGTCTTTCTGATGACCTTGCTCCCTCCTGTGCCTATGTAAAAACCACTTGCCAGTACCCTGTTTTAAATTAACCAGCCTATCTCAAATACTTCTAACAACTCTGTAAAGCACTTAGATCTAGAATATTTTCCCCTTCCATATAAATATGCTTTCCTAAGGAGACAAGGATAGGATTTCACCAGCAAATTTTCTTCTAAAGTGAAGGAAAAAAGGAAAAAAGGATCTGTTATTTATTAGGGAAAGTATCAAACTACTTTTATGTCTCTTAGTGGACCTGGAACAAAAGAGAACAGGAGGATGGAAAAAATCAGCCACACTTTCAGGTGCAGAGAACCATCAAATCAGAGTGACAGCAGCCTGGTGAAAAGCTGCTTTTTGACACCTCAAAGACTACAATTCCTTCTGTCCTATACTGATATTTTGGTGTAGTCACTGATTTTCCCAGTATCTTTTATAAATATTCTCTATTGCTTTCTATAATGATGTTATAAAAAGTAAAGTGACTTTTTACCTTCAAATTGCTCCACATTTATACTGAAAGCAGAGTGTAAGAGAATGAACCATCATTCACATTTAATATTTATCCTACTCTAAAAGGGGTAACAATTTCCTTAAAGGATTACATTTCATAAGACAAATGTCTTCTCACATGTTTCCATGATCATCTATAGTCCTAATATCTGATTCACTAGTAAACCACAACCAACCAGGGGATTCTTAAGATAGCTGACTTACTACATAAAATGTTAAAAAAGGAAAGAGACAAGAAGGAATGGGCTGCTTACAATCCATCTTTTACTAAAGTATTTATTTTTAGATTAATTCTTGAGTGGGAAAAAATATTTTACCAGTATAGCTACTATTTCTCCTATAAGAAAAAAATTCTGTAAAACCAAGTAAACAAACAAACAAAAAGAAATCCACCCAAACCAGCAAGAAAAACAATGCAAGCAATCAGCAACCCCTAAAACCTGTATGAAGTGTAAGTGCCAACCCTGCAAATTGAACTCACAGAAGAGGGTGAGGAGACATTATGAGTATATGAGAAAAAAATAATCAAAGCTTTGCACTGGAAAAGCATTTACATAGAAAACTGTCAAAGTTGAAGATGGAGGCAACAGTGCACTTAATTTTAGAACATACAATATTTGAAGCTCTGACTATGTATTTTTAAGTATATATTTTTTAAAATCATGCTTCTATAGTTACATTCATTAATCCTAGTTTTCCTAAATTTTACACACAGGTTGCTACTTAGAATCTGGTTTTCCCTTAAAAAAGGTGGGGCAGCCTGGAGACTCCCAGGTCAAATTTGGTTAGAATTCATGTCAGTTCTCCATCACATTTATCATTAACAACATTTATAAGAAAATACTTAACTACCTGTATTTTTCCTCTGACAAATGTGTTTATGTCATTCTCATTTTCAAAGATTGAAAGAGTTTGCAACAAATTCTGTTCAAGCCACTCCCAGTGTTCAGTGATTTCCTTCCTTGAGCAACCTGTACAGAAAAAAAAAATCCCCAAAAGTCACAAAATAAATAATTCACCAATGTCAACATCCTCTTATCAGAAACAAAAGACTCCAATAAAGGTTGCCAGTAACTGGAGATGCAATATTTCATCAGAGGCTGTGTCCCTGGAAGTTCCAAAATTTTCTCCCATGGTCTTTAATTTCATAGTAATTAGGTAGGAGTCTTCAAGACCATTGTGTGAGAAGCACAAGTGACCTCTGTCAGTGTCATGAGCAAAACCCCTCTGCATTTAGAGTTCCAAACACAGTAACAACATCAAGCTGCCCACAAGGAGTTAGAAAAGGTCTTATCTGCATCTTTTAGGACTCATAAAACACACCAACAGCTGTATATTCTACCACTAGTTCCTAATTCTTCACCATTATATAGATCCATAAATTGTGAAATAATGATAAAATTCCAAGAGCAAAGCTGAAAAGGATCATTTCCTGACAAGTCTATTACAAGGTCTCTTCCTAAAAAGAACAGTGCTGAAAGACCTTTAAAAAGCTCTGTCTTTTTAGGGGAAGAGGGTTGTCAGAGGTGATTTAAAGATGAAAGAATAAACTGAACTTTGATGACTCTAGTTTGCTTAGAAGACCAAAATGGGTCAAGTGAGGTATCTCTGATACTGAGGAACTGGCATATATGTAGTGTGTAAAGTAGAACAGGCCAGGGATGAAAAAGCTTCTTGTATGAACTATATGTGCACTTTTTTCCTTCTATTTTACTTGAGATGGATTGTAATGAATATAAACTTCCATTTTGGCCCTGTTCTCAATGTCCTGCAGAATAGAGTTGCTGGTGCTCTTCAAGGTTTCCCTGTACCCACCCTGAAGGAAGATTTACAGAAATTCACAGGAAAAAAAGTTCCCCCCAAAAAGGATCTTGAAGGACTTGTGTCAAAATTATGTCAAAAGGACTTTTAAGTATTTTCTGAAAATAATGTTACATATTCACATAGGAACATTTGTGCCTAAAGCTTGATTAAAACTATCTCAATCCAGGTAGAAAATACCACAAAAATGACATCACCTTTTTGTTCAAATCATAGATTTGGCTCATTTCACTCAGAAGTAGCATGTAAATGTACATACCTGCTAATGCCTACAGAACCCAAAAGTGAAGGGGGTCATGTGAAGCAATCATTAGAGATTAAATTAAAACAAGCTGTTGCTAATAACTTCTTCAGCTTCACTACAGGTACAAACAGTCACACATCTGTGCCTAAGTGGTTCCATAGTTTGCAGAAGAACTCAATGCAACCATGTTGAATTCACACTAAACAATTGTTTTCCTTGTTGTTCAGCAACAAATGATGGGGGGGGAGATGTTCTTTCCACAGTATACAATCAGAGCTTTACACAACTCGGATGAAAGCAACAGAAAGCAACATTCTGTGCAACTTCCAGGGGAATTGCACAATTCTAATTGTAGCATGGATGCATAAATCACATTGCAGAGCAGCCTGTGTACGTAACCAGTATTACAGAACCACAAGGGATCACCACTGCTGCTTCTCCTTAGAATTACTGGATGCAACCAGACCTTTCTGGAACTCAGAAGGTGGTCTGAAGACTCACTGATTTCTTCTTGGCTGTAAAAATCAGTGATGAAATACATGAGCTGTATATACCCAAAATGAGGCTGTCATTGGAAATCTCACTCATGTCCTGAAGAGCAGTGACAAGCAGAGCAGACACCAATTCATGAGCAACTGTTTCTTAAAGCTGTCTACTGCTTCTTTGTGGTTCATCAATTGTTTTTCATCACTTCTTATGAAACAGCTTTGATTGATTATTCTCAGCCTGTAACAACCCATCTCATTGTTTCCATGGCTTTTTGTCTCCACTATCTTACTGTTTACTCTCCCAGTCTCATCTACAGCAGACCATGCCACTGGGCCAAACCCACATCCCAGCTCTCATCACTTTATCCTGACAGTTTAGTCTTTTCTCTTTGCTTTCTTCACTCAGGATTACAGATTTTTTTTTTTTTCTGTGGTGTTTTAAACTACAGCTCTATTTTAACTCTGCTACTGGGAAGTCTTCCCTTATCTGAGCACAGCAGAAATATTCACCATTTTGCCATCATTGGCCTTTTAGGCCAATTAAGTGGCATCTCTGACTCTCAGGGATGGGGAAAAGCCATTTAACAATTAAACCACTGCACTTTGGAATACAGAGCTCTCAAGACTGGCAGGAAATAGAAGGGAAAATAGCTCTAATAGTAGACTAATCACTTCTTGCCCTCCTCTAAATGGCTCAGCTTATAGTGTGCTCCATGGCTGCAATGGTGTAACGTTGGCCAGCAACCCTGGTAGACTGAGCTGGTCTCCTCAGTCTTCAGGGAGGAAACTAAGTGGGTTACACAGAAGCTGGAGAGCTAAGGGATGTCTAGACCAGAAGAGCTGGGTAGAAGAAAGATGCATAGTGCTGGAGAGAGGATGGGAACGGGCAATTGCTTGGCAAGGTGGGTAAAGTAAGAGTATGAGAAACATGGGAACATCTCTGGAAGTCAGGGTTAGATTTCTAGCATCTGGATTGGTTTGTCTATGTGAATCACATTCCCTCTGTGACCGAATTCAGGACTGAGAAGAAAATTAACAAGTCATGCTTTCAAACACTCAGAAGTATACTGTCAGTATTGATTCAGTCAACGACTGAGAAATAGGAATGGCTTGAGACAGCTGATGAGGGTGTCACATCCAGTCTTCTCTTCCAAGTAGATACTTCCCTGAGATGCTGATCAGTCAACCTGAACTGCTGCTGCTAACAGGATGCATTGCAAGAGAATTTGCAGCACTTCTGGGAGCCTAAAATAGTCTTGCCAGTAATGGCAAGTTCAGGAGTGGACTGGCAAAACCTCAATTTACACAGAGGCAAAGACAGTTATGGCTGGTGGAGTCAACAGCACTCTAAAACAAACTTGTAGCTTTGCTAACCAAAGCACATGGGCTTTCCTGAAAAACTCTCCCAAGGCATGTGATAAAAATTCAAGGTTGGTGCTTTAAAATAAGCCATAATTAATTTTTTTCCACATGAAATACAGTTTTAGAAACTTCTGTGGAAATGAATATAATTATCATTACCACTAAAACCCCCAAATGCTACAGCAATGGTTCTATACCAAGAAAATTCACATTTAAGATGAATTATAAACAAAACTGGGGTCTAAATATAACTCAAATAGTAATTTTATAGCAATCAAAACCCCTTGGATTATTTTTTACTCTCAGAATAAGTCTTGTACAGTACAAGACCAAATGTCATGCAGCATGAGTGAACCAGGAAACAATCACAATTCTTCCAGTCCCTCTGTATAGCTACTTACTGAAGAGGGAGATTATTGCTTTATGAATAGCAAAGGAGAATAAAACAAATTCCTGTAAAAATAAGAGATTACAAGTACCAAATAACCAGCAGCCTACCCCTGAGAACAGGGGTACAATGCAGGACAAATCAGAGCTAAATAACATAACAAAATGCAGCCAAATCCCTTAGTAACCTGCATAATGGCAACAACTCTTGATCCCTTCTGAAGGAATTGCTTTAATTGCAAATTCATAAAATAACCACAGCACAGAGCCTCAGGCAACACTGAGCTGCTCAGCTTCAGGATTACACAGGTAAAGAATTTGCTCTCTGTAAAATTTTACCTCCCTGTAAGAGCCACACTGTTCCCCCAGGTGACAATGCTAAGCCAGTGCAGTTTTATAATTTAACAAAAATAACTGAGCCAATCAACCAGCTAGACATTAGGAGACTAAAAACTTTTAGGAGACTAAAAACTGAAGAAACAGATATATGTTAAGTATTTTACCAATTTCCATTAGGGTAAGGATTCAGAAAAACCCTCACAGCTCATCAGCAGCATATATTTCTACACATATTTGTTTATTCTGGGGCCACAACTCATCTGCCTTCAATTTTGTGCTTCTCATTATCTGAGGGCAGTCACTGTAGGTATAAAATCATCATTATCTACAGATGTCATGCAAAAAAACTCTGAAAATGCACTCAAAGTGACACAGCCTATTTACAAAGTCTTAAAAAATTAATTGCTGTCTATGTCATCATACAAATACCCTTGAAGAAACACTATTTTGTTGAGAGCTTTGTGATGTGTTATTTTTTTTGGCAGGAAGTCTGCTAACAGCAAGAGAATTTGTGCCCTTAGTTGCTCCCTTTCAAGTCTGAGGGAGAAAGGTGCTTCCCAGTTGCTGTGCACTGACATCTGAATGAAGGGAAGCAAGGATTGTATGTGCACTTGCAACTACTGCCACTTGTGCACAAATACAGTAAATAAACATACTGGTGAGTACTTTTACCCTTCTTTCTCCCAACTCAGATCCATGGAAAGCTGACATGCAAGGTCCCATTACTTCTGGTCACAGCAGAGTAGCTAACAGCTCAAAACAAGCTGTTAAATGGAAATTTGGAAACTACCTTCATAATATTAACAATTTCACTAATATCAGTTTTTACTGTTAGTGGTCACTAAAGGCAAATTATGTTGTATGAATTTTTAAATCTTCACTGAGGTGGTACTAATAGGTGTGGAAGGAAAATAAGCTGTTTAAATTGATGTTTTCTTTCCAATTTGAATTCATCAAAAGTAGCAAGAAATACTTATGGTAAGCCATTAAAAAACTTCCTACTGGACCCAGAATGTGACAGAGCTTTGGTATCACCTTTGTCAGAAACATAAATCTAGTGCTCATAAGAACAGAACCTGCTTTGAACTGATAAAATTATTACATCTATGGCAAGCCTTCAGCAATCCCTCCTTCTCCTCCCTTCCCAAGAGGCATTTGTCTGGAGGAAGAATTACCCAAATAACCTAAATGTCAAATTTTACTGGGAAAATGGACAGAGATGAGAGGGCACTGTTAGGCCAGATGAAGTCTACAGCTTCATTAACTAGTATTTGAGTGTCAGGCAGCACTGGGAGTGCTGGAAGTCACCAGTCTATTAAAGAGATGACAGGCATGTATGCACTTCTCATCTGTCCTCTTCCTCCAGCTTCTTTCAAATGCAGAGTTCTGGCTGCTGCCTAAAACAGCATTTGACACTTTATACCTAGAGGAGCTGCATTCAGAAGTTTCCATTTGCCAGGATTGAAAAGCAATACTCCTAAATACAACCAGAGATTTAACCACACAGTGCCCTAGAGACCAAAAACTTCTCCAGAGTTGTGGTACTCGTGTAAGAACATACACTGCTGTACTTCACTCTAACCTAGCTACCATCTTGCTGAATTTCCAAGCACATCATGTGTAGAAGGACAACATACTATCTGAAATAAATGTGCAGAGGAGGTGAGTATCCCTGGAATCTAGATGGTGTTTATGCTGGAGGAGACTGAGCTCACTATGCAGGAAAGGCCATATGGATAGTCAGTACTCAAGTGAGTGCTGGGGCTGCACTATCTTCCCAGTTTCCATTTCAAGAGACATCAGGAATCTTGTCTGGGTCATCTGGGGGCTATAAGCCAGGTACTCCTCCCACCATACTCCTTAGAGATACCTCCTCAGAGGAAGGCTGCACTTCAGAAGTGCCACAGGAGTGAGCCACGGGCATGGAAAAGAATATGCAAGGAGGAAGAACAGACACTGGGCTGCTTGTCTGGGAACATCTCTGGGAGATGAAGGGTGGGAGACAACCTGGTCACCTCTGGTCTTCCTCAATCATTGTGTGGTACACATGCACACACTGGCATTCAAGGTGTGAACACGAGATCCTCTGGAGCTTCTTCGTTTAACCACTAGAGCAAATTTTCCTCCTGACCCATTTACCTGTCCTGAAATAACTTCACTCAGCAGGCAGGATGCTCTGCAGCTATGTGGCACAGCATCCAGGAAGCATAAAAATCCCCACGTCAGTGTGTTTGTCCTTACCACAGGCAATAGTCCAATAGACCAAGGAGTCTGGTGCCTGGTAGAGAATCCGATACGGTGCCACTCGGGCACTGGAGTCCAACACGACATCAAGAGTACCCACAAGGAGACCTAGGAACAGAAAATTCTGATGAATACACAGCGATGCATCATCCAAGATCCCACAGGAGAGTGCTCCACAGCCCCCTCTCCCCCTTCCTTTTCACCCTCCACAGCAAAATGCAGACCTGAGGATTCATCCCCACACTCGTTGCCTCGTGTTGTAAAGGGGGAAAGTAACTCAGCAGGGAAAGAATCTGCAGTTTCAACAAGACTTCAGCTCTTAAATATACATCTGTTCTAGTATAAAGGCAGACAAATTGAAGCCAAGCAGAATGTAACTGTTTTACAAATCCATGCTTAACTTATTTGGCTCTTTCTTGTGTTTCATATACTGTTGGAGCCCTGGAGGAAAACAAACCCAACCAACAACAAACCCCCTCCCACCACAACACCAACAAACCCCCGCAGACAATACACCCTACATGGATTCAAAATTCAAATGTCAGCTAGGAAAAACAGGCTTCCAGCAAAAATAATTATGCTACTTAATGGGTCTGATTCTTTAGGGTATAAATGATCAAAATGCCTAAGGGTCAAGCTGGTTTCCAGCTGAAAGGATACCAATGAAAGACAAGACCATACTGTTTTCCCAAGCACCTCTGAAAATTCTTTGCTGCTGAGGGTGCCATCAAAATATTTCCACAAATTCTTCATCCTACTTTTATAAGAAATGACACACAAAACACTAACCCCCAAACTCTCTCCCATAAGAAGCCCTATTTTAAAGTTTTCTCCCTTTCCAGCTCCACAAAGAATTTTCATCTCCCCTGCAGAAATGTCAGATTTAAATTCTCATGTTGATGTTCTCAGCAAACTCACAGATTGAAAACAGATGGATGAATTTTAAGATTTTTTTTTCTGCAATTATTTATTTGGTTTGGAATCAAGGGGTTTTTTTTTTAACAGCTGAAATATACTGCATGCACCAAAAAAAAAAATACTTCTATAACACTCCTGTTAAAATCCTCTTCTCCTTTCAAGTGGCTGTTTTCATCTTTTACTGTCATAGTTCCATTAGTTCCTCTTTCTGCACTGTCATAACTGATAGAGAAGACTGCTTCACTCACTGTTCTTCTTTCAGATTTGCTTCATGCATCACAAAGATATCAAAGCATTACCCATTTTCCATCTTAGCAGATCCTATAAATCCAAACTGAAACTGGTATTTGGAAATACCCCAACTTTCAGTGATTTTGTACCCCCCCATTCTATGGTTTTTATTTGTATTTTGTTTTACAGAGATCTTCCCAGGCTGGATCAAATGCCATCTCTTCCTGATCAATGCATTATTATCCACCACTTTTTATTACAACAATTCTGCAATACATAAAACCCAAGTCTGAACACAACATTAGGTCATTAGTAAGCAGTGTTAGAGAACTATCTGCTAATTATAGGGTATGAACATGAAGTACTAATGCAAAACATCCAATGTTCATTAGTCCAACCAGCTTTAGTTGCTCCTAGTGCCATCTTAAACCCCTACCTCTTATGCATTTTGATTACTGATGTACACTGACAAGCTGCCTCTGATCAACCCTCCACCAGCCCTCCCAAATATACCCTGACTTCTTTTAAATTCACAAGACTGAAGTAAGTCATAAAATTCCTTTAAACTTTTTTTTTTAAATACACTCTCCATTCTAGCTTCACAAACCCACTGTGGCTCTGATCCAGAAAGCACAGGAATGCTCCAACCACCAGCAAAGATCCTCAAATGCTGAAAGCTGCCAGCGAGCTCAAGAGAACTGCTCAGCTGAGTGCAGACCAAGGCAGACACTACCCTCTGGTCATCTGCTGGGTTTGCTGCCAGAGACTCACCAGGCTTTGCCCCTTCTCATGCCAACTGGCAGCACTAAATATGCAACAGGCATGATGTAACAGCTAAATAAAGTTGTATGCGGGCCAAATGTAATCTTCTCTGAGGTGCAGAAACACTGTCAGGTCCCTGTAATCTTGAAAAATGTGCTTGTTTCTTTCCTCCTGCTCTATTTCCAAATCTGTTGGCGTGTGGGTGGCCCTGCCAACCAATTCTGCCACTAGCTCTAGGAGGGTGCTGCATCTGTAGAACTGGGACTTGTTGACAGAGGTAAGGCCAAGGAGCCAAAACAAACCTACCAACTTGTGTGACAACAAGAGAAGCTTCCCAGCCTACCTCCTCCTCCCCAGGGCATGGGAGATAGAAGAGGAACATCCCCTGTCCCACCAAACAGAACCAATACAAGATAGAGCAGCATTTCCAAGAAATGTGGAGAGCACTGTAAGAAAGCAAAACCAAAAGAGACTAGCCAGCACTGAAACAACAGATGGGAGGCAAGTAAAGAAAAGAAAGCACATTTCCCACTGGGGCAGTAAGTAGGATGGAAACAGGTTCTAGAAACATCCATGCAGTGAGGTTAAAAGAAAATTCATAGAACTCCAGAAGACCCCATGGAAATTCAAAGTCAAGTTTACCAGGATAACTGTGACAGGCAGCAGTGTATCAGCAAAATTTTACTTATTATATAATGAACTTGCTGTTTTGATAGATGACATATGATTCATAAAAAATAATTTGTGTTCTTATAAATATCAAACCCAATAACTAAAGATTAATATTTACTCTTGCAAGCACACAACTACCCCTGAGTGCTGTCCTTCAGGTACTGTTCCATTTTGCACTGCAGGCCAGCGTTAGGTTTTTTGGGTTTGGGTGTTTGGTGCTTTTTTTGTTGTTTTGTTTGTTTTTGTAAGTCAGACGTGTGATGCAACCAGAATGAAACCAGCAGTTCATACTGAAAATCCTTCTGAAGAATTTCTACATGAAGTGACCATAACTTTTTTTTTTAAAAGGCAATTTATTTTAATACTGCTCGTTAATTTTTCATACAACAAATACCTTTTGAGACATGATTAAGAAATAAGCAACCAAAAGTTTCTATAGAAACAGAACAGACAACAAAAAATAATCATATTCCTTAGATTGGACTGGTCCTTGGACAAGAGCCAGTGAATCATCCAGGCATCAAGTCGTGTGACTATACTGATTGCAATTTTTTTTCCCATTATTTCATCAGGTTTCTGACTCCACAGTGAAATAAGGGAAGTAATTCTCCATGTAAGAACACTAAATCTGCAAGCCCTTGTTGAAGTGAGCAGCTTTCATGAGCAAAGGTTTACAGCACATGTTGAAGTGTGTGGGCTGGGAGTCTGGCTAACTGATGACAGCCCTGATCCTACAGGCACTCCAGCACAAGTAACCTTATGTCAAGGAACAGTCCCACCAGACACAAATCCCAAATGTCTACAGCAACCACAACTACATATGGGGGCAGGAGGGGAGAAGGGAGGGATAACACCTTCATTTTGTTTGACACAACTTTTTCAATCAAGTCAGCTTCCTCTTTAGAGAAATTGAAATCTGAAGCAAAGGTCCAGAAAATCGTTCAATATTTTCTTTCTTTTCTGTAAAATACAGGTACTAGCAGAGGAAAAGAAGTGAAATTAAATGAAATATCTGAAACCAGGGAATACAAAGCCCCAGATTAAGGGGCTTGGGCAACTGCTCTTGCATCGTGCTCCTGGTTATAAGGCACTAGAGGACATTGCTGAATGGGGTTCAACTTACCTGATGCAATTTATGCTGAAGGAAGAAATGACACATTTTATTTATCTGACCCCTGTGCCTCACATTTAGTTGTAAACTGGAGGGAGAGCCTATAACCACTGCACCAGGTATACAGATTAGCAGTCTGGATTCATGCATTAAGTTATGACGTGCTGTACTTGTATCCTTACACCAGCAACCAGTTTTCAGGGTGGTTTTTGCTAGAAGGAATCATGAGCACATGAAGCCTGACCTCCTGGATAACACACACCCTCTTTAAGCCAAATGATTTCTATCTTACCAAAGGATATTTTCTAGAAAGGCAGGTCATCTTGATTTGAAACCTAAGCCAACTGAGTCAGTTAAGACTCTTCCAAGCACCACTGCACTCTTTGGAGACCAGCATTCCAGATGGCTTGTCACAGAACCATTGAATAGTTTGGGTTGGCTGAATGTGAGGAAGAAGTTCTTCACCATGAGAGTGGTGAGACCCTGGAATGGGTTGCCCAGGGTGGTGGTTGAGGCCCCATCCCTGGGGGTCTTTAAGGCCAGGCTGGATGAGGCTCTGGGCAGCCTGATCTAGTGGGAGGTGTCCCTGCTCATGGCAGAGGGGTTGGAACTGGGGGATCCTTGTAGTCCCCTCCAACCCTGACAGATTCTGATCTGTTTTGGCAGAAGACTTTGGAGCCCTGGTGGCTCAGTGGTTGGACTTGATGATCTTGGAGGTCCCTTCCAACCTAAAGGATTCTATGATTCTACCTTAAAGATCATCTACTTCCAGCCTACAAATGGCAATAAAAATCAAGGGATGACCTACAGTAGAATCAACTTGGTATGTTTTAAATTAATAGCACCAAAACCACACACTTTAGAATATATGGACTCAAATACCTGTAATAAGTCACAATGTTTTTAGCTGTCTGGATATCTGTGGCACAGATATTTGCTGCCAGAATGTTTCTCCATCTTTTTTTTTCTTTTCTTTCTTTTAAAATTTAATTAGTGATTTATTTTTTTTAATCTTTTATAAGAACTTGCAAGTTTATTTGCCAAACACCAATTACTGGCATTTCTACAAGAAAAGCAAGTTTACACATCTTACACATGAACCATTTCTTTTATTACAACAGGATTTTTTTACTGACAAACAGTAACCCTCTTTCACAAAACTCATGCTTTGATTTAAATAAAACACACACAAAGATCAAGCAGTCTTTATCACTTCTCTGCAGTCCCCCTGACATCAATCCTTTGATGGTGTTTGTGAGCCTGTGGTGTTTTACCTGCTAACTCAAACTAAATCCTATTACACACTCAAAATTGAAATCCTGGATTATATATTACCTCCAGCACACCTTACTAAAACATTGAAGCCAGCTTATTTACTGTTTATGAAAAAAAAAAAGATTCTTCAGACCTTAAA